TCATGCGCCGAAGTTGCGATTGAGTCAATAATGCAGCCTTCAAGGCCTTCAACATGACATGTATCATTATAAATGTCAAGCAATCTGGTATTGTACAGTGTTCTGTTTCAAAACATCTACTGCAAACTGGCATGCCCTGCTGCTACCTGTAAAACTTGTTTCGGTACCGGAGTTCCTGGCCTCGCGTTTGCGACTTTTTAGGAAGCATCATTTCGACCAATATGAGCGACTCTATCGGCTCGACGGCAACGCTCGGCTCCTTGCGCCGCGTGGCCTCCCACTGTACAATGTCGCAATTCACGGCGTCCCTCCAGCCCGTGACCCTAAACCACCTGAGGAAAACGAGGTGATGCTCTATGGGTTTCCACACTGACTGCTGCTCGTTCTCATCCCACTCGAGTACCCGGTGGCGTGCTTTGAAGAACACCATAGCTCGACCGTACCAAATTTCTTTGGCCCCGGTTCTGCTGTTTGCGCCCTCCACAGCCACGTCACTGAAGATCGGTCGGCCGTGGAAGCTGGGGATAGCCTGCGCCGCTTGCACCCTCCCGCGGCCACCCGCGTGCGGGACGATGTAGCAGGAAGACACGATGTGCACCTGCAATTCAAAATCTCAGGACGTTCCTGAAGGGACCTATCATTCCAAAGCGATGCAGCTGAGATTTAGTGCCTTGTGCAAACACTCCCCTTGGATTCAAGCGTAACCTCGTGCAGCTGGTTCTCTGACGAGCAATAAACAAGTGTTTGTGTGATATGTACTTACTCGTGGATCGATGTTGTGCTTCGAGCGAAGGTATTGGAGTGGATTGAGGCGGCGGAGAGCGGCGCCCGTCAAGTTGCCGACGTGTTCGGCGAAGTGGGTGCCCAAAGCAGCGGGAAGCTTGCGTAAGAGCGGCTGGGCCCGCAGCAGTTGCAGGAACGCGACTCGTTGTTTGTGACCTGTGGAATGCATTTGCAAAGAGTTGTGATAACCCGCATCACGACGATTAGTATTTGGAGCGGGCACTGGGGAAAAGCACCTCAAAGTTTAAAAGGAATGCCAGCGTGCGCAGGTAGAACCAAAACACTGGGCGTTTTAGTTGGAGAGTCTCACCGTCAAAAATCATGTCTGTAGGCGAGTTCACGTCCACCAGCATGTTAGACCAGAACGCGGCAAACCGATACTTCAGCGGAAGCATGTTTTCGTCGCCGTTAATGGCCTTCATGATCGCGCTGTCGTAAGCGCCTCTCTGTCGGACCACCTCCGCAATCTGCGCTCGCTGGGCCTCGATAGTGTCCAGGGCGATCGCACGAAGCCACCTGCAACACCGCACAGCCACTCAGATCGGTTTGGAAGCTCGCTAAAAGGATGCAATACACTCATCAGAATAATCACTTGGACCACTTGCAGTTCCCCGCATCCTTACGCTGCTTGAACTTTGCTTGCAAGTTTACTTCACTCACGCTTCGAACATCGCTTCGTCAACATTCCTCCCGTTCATGCTGGACCACCAAATCTTGACCCAGTGGTGCTCGTGCTCTCCCCTCTCCGTGGATGTCCAGCGAGTGGCCCCTAGGCGCCGAACGGTGGCAGTGAACTTGGAGAGGTCGTGATACTTGCGGAAGTTCCACGCCGAATTCTGCAGGCCGGCGATCGCGGTGCACTTGTCGTCAAAAAGGCGGAGCAGACGGTCGGACTCCTTTAGGGTATCCTCGTTGTGGATGCCCTTTTCGAGCCAAAAGGTCGCCTGAACCCAGTCCACCAAAGCCACCGCCCATTCCACGAGGAGGTCTACCCCGTTTGAACGGAACAGACCTGACACCAGGATCGGGAGCACCTGAAGATGCAACATAGGGAGGGTATGAGTTGGAGGACAGATTAA